GTATATTTTTTTTGGAAATAATCCGTATAAACTATGCTATAAACAAAAAATTGTAGGATTACTTACCGAGTGTGCACTGTTCGACATCGCCATTGCTCATGCTTGTTTTCGTCGTGGAACAGCTCAGCAAACAGCGGCTGATTTCTAATAACTTACTTTTCTGCAAAAACTTTGTTGAACTTTGGAGAGATCATTAATATAAATAATTTTAATTGCTGTTGAATAAGAAATGTTTCTTTCACAAGAAATGTATAAAATTACAGTACTGTATTAGACTTACGGTACCTAATTTACATACTGTACAGACGATAGTTAGCCTAAACTCTCCGTAGTGTGGCGCTACGCGGCGGAAAATATATATATAATTATAACAAAGTTACAATAAATTAAGTTAATATATAATTATATATACAGTACCTAATTTATATATAATACTGTACAGACGATAGTAATCTCTCCGTAGCGTGGTGCTTGACGGCGGAAAATAGTTCAGCTGCCCGATGACATTGTACGTAATTATAGGAGTTTTTTACCATTTTTTACGGATACCGTCGCAATTTTTTCGCAGTTTTATAGGAATCGTAATTATAGGAACCCATTTTATAGGGGGGTCTACTGTATTGAAATTTATAGTTTTCTAAAGTCGGTTTCAGTGTGAAGCACAAATTTAAAAATTTAATTATTTTAATAAGATTTTAGTTGAACAATTTGTAAAAAAATTAGAATAAATATAGAATTTGTTAATTGCTATCAATAATTTTATGGTTGTGAATAAATCACTGTTAATAAGCAGAATTGAAATATATTTATTACAATATACATTTTAGGAATATGTGGTTTTGCTGTTAATTGTAATCAATGCACTTTCCCTTAATCTATTGGTGCCTTGTGACACCTTTTAGAGTAGAAAATAGTGCTATATTAATTAAAGTGAGTTCTGTCGCCTCCTTCTTCTTATGTTGTTAGGAGTGAATCAGAACTATACATTTGATATAATTAAAATGATTTAAATATTAAAATTAATTATTTTTCATTTTAGGACAGCAAGATTAAATTTCCATTGCCGTCTCGAATCAACAGAAAGTTCCACAAACCACGTTTTACTACAGTGAGACCAAATGCTAAATTCTAATCTTTATTAGAAATATATGATATATCAATAAACTGATTGATGAATATGATTCTTTGTTTTTGTTTAAAAAATATTACATTTTTAGAAAATTTGATAATTTTAACTATATTCACATACAACCAAAATTTATGCAGATTTTGCTTTTCCCCCTTTTGTTTGTTCTGATTTAACTTAATTTATTTTTAAAAATATTATGTCTAATGACAATCCAGATTAATTCATTACAAAACAAAAATTAAAACATAAACTATAGTAGTAGTTTCATATCTTTTTATGGAAAATATATTAATTTTTAAAATTTGCTATAAATTTTTCAAATTTTAACTGCCCAGTTGTTTTTATTTTGTTAAATTTAATAAGAATCCTAATTAACAAGAGAGAAATTTTAATGAAAATGGAGTTAATTCAATTGACATAGCAATGAGGTGGTTATACTTAAAAGTGCTCAAAGTATGACTTGTTTTTTTTTTCATGTATTTGATTTCAATTGTATTAACTTTTATAAACTATTTTCATTAGGATCCTATTATTTTGACAATATTTTTCATACAAGTTTAATGTTTAAGTGGATATCATCTATACAATTTTTTCTGTTTAAATATAAAATTTTTCCAATTTAAATTTATAAATAAAGAATAAATTAGAGTTAAAATATTTGTATGACAACCATTGCATAATAATAATAAATTTAAAAATTGCTTTCATTGGTTGTGAATAAATCACTGTTTCATGATTTAAAAATATAAATTTGATTTGAAATTAAACAGAATATGAATTTAATGACAATATAATTGATCACAGAGCATATTTTTAACTTTTTTAAATACTAGAAATAGACCTTAAATAAATAAAAATGAACAAGTTTAATATTAAAATTACTTCATAATTCCAAACAGTTACTAATTTTTTTTAAATTTGAAAGTTACTATGAATGATTTTTGAACTGGAACATCTATTGGGAGTTAAACTTCCTTGTGGAGATGACTGATGTCAGTATACAGTAAAATTTGTGTAAATCAGAATTTGCACTGTACTGAATATATTTTCTGGTTTACATTTTATTTGGGTTACACTGTATATAAACTATAAAAACAACCACTTACACCTTTAAATGCACTGCCAATTTTACTTTTTATAACTTGGTCATTTTAAATGCCCTTCCTCAGAATAAAAACCGACTGCAATCTTTGTTGATTTATTTTTAATCTATGCAGAAGTTGACGTGCAGTTAAATGGTCGGAATTCTGAAATGTTAGAATTTCAAAATTGTTTCAGAGGATGGCTTTTGTTCTTATTTTTAAATTGCAAATACTTTGGAATTCCAACCATTTAATTAACTGCATGTCAAGACTTCTGCATAGATTACAAATAAAACATTCTCCTACTCATCTCCAACTTCATGTTTCACACTCCATACTGCTTGTGCCGTCTACCAGGTGCCACCTTACAGCCCAAACATGACATTGCTTCCTAAAGTAATTTTGGCACTGATTTCAAATCATTTTTCCGAATTTATGAACCTAAACAATAACGACACGCCACGCCAGGAAATACATGATGATGAACATAGAACCAATAACCAGTGAAGAAAAAAAAAACTAACTTAAGACAAACATTTTCTAACTCCTGAGTTTTTTCAGGTGCTATAACAGTTACCAGATGGAATGTTGTTCAGAACATAAAAAGTTTGAATTTACATTTCTTACAAAAAAGCTATGAGTATAAAAAAATTTAAAGCCTTGTATGCATTGTCTGTGAATAACAAAGATTTAACCAATGACTACATTGTCATGTCAAGTAGAGCCTGCCAGACCATTGATGACATTTCCTCCTTTTAAGCTAATTTTGCATCCTCTTGTATAAGTTTTAAGATTTCTATGGCTTCCAACCATCTGAAGTGCTTCTGTGGGATGTTGTGAGAAAGAGTTTGGCCCGCATGAAATCCACCACAATTTCCGGATCTGCTGTATAGGTAGAAAAGGCTGTGGAAGTTCTAGCATGTTGCACATTTGAGATATGCTCTTGCATTCTGGTTCTCTTAGAATGTTTAGTGGATCTGATATTCAAAAGGTCCCTTTGCATCTGGTGTCCCTGACAGAGACATTGTATATGCCAGGCAGTCTGGTAGGGTCTTTTCCATTACAAAATATGTTGAAAACAGACAGGCACCTCCTGAAGACTACACGAACAGCACACTTCTTAGTGATTTTTGCTTACAATGAACTTAAGTAGGAGTTAAAAATAACATTCCATTCCACCTCCCCAACTTAGTCAGTTACAGATATGTTAACCCTTGGCATGGATCAGGGATGGCCAACTTTTGTGTACATAAGATCTACTTTTTATCTTAAAAATGTGTTGCAATCAACTTGTCGTAGGCATAGTCTAAGTGGCAAGGGGGAGGTGTGAAATACATACTACAAAGTCTGTTCAAAAAGTATCAGACTTTTATTTTTTCTGCGTAAACCAATGATGCGCGGGAGGCCTCTTTCGGTGGAGGGGACAGTCATGCACAGCCCTGAATTTTTTCTCGCCTGCAGGAAGCGTCAGTCATTGGCAGTTGGCCTATGAGTGAGGACATGTAGTGAGCTTTCGTCGGATTCCACTAAGTTGGAAAATGACTGAACAACGTGAGCAGTGATATTACATCAAATTTTGCCAAAAACCTTGGCGATACCCAAGCATAAACCATTCGCAAGATTCAGCAGGCTTTCGGGGACGATCCTCGAGGCCAAAAAAAGTGCGGCAGGTTCGCAGCAATATCAAGGTCATGTTGACAGTTTTTTCGACTCTCGTGGGGTGGTGTATCGTGAGTATGCACCACAAGGCCAAACCATCGCAAAGGAGTACTACCAGGAGGCCCTTCGTCATCTTTCCGATGCTGTGCGATGCAAATGAATGGATCTGTGGTCGATCAAAACTTGGCAGCTCCATCGTGATAACGCATCCGCCCATTCTGCGCATCTGATTTGGGCTTTCGTCGCCAAACACAACACTCCTGTGGTTCGTCATACTCTGTACTCTCCCCACATGGCTCCGTGTGACTTGGCTATTTCCCAAGCTGAAAATGCAGCTAAAAGGAACCCGATTTTAGTCGAGAGAAGACATCATGCGGAATGCGATGGACTGGCTGATGGCCATTCCAAAAGATGCTTTCCAGCAGTGTTTCTAGCAATGGCAGGAACGCTGGGAGAAGTGTACAGTATACACTACCAAGGAGAGTACTTTGAATGGGTTTAGGGTTTTGTACTTCAAAATCAATAAATTATTTTTGCCGACCAAAGGTCCGATACTTTTTGAACAGCCCTCGTATGTTTAGATAGGTAAGAAAAACCACAATTTAATTTAAAACATGAAGAAAAGGTACATTTTAAACAGAAAAAAATTGAAACTCAACCTTGTCACTTTCAGGGACCACCACTTTACCATTCCTCTCTACCGTGTCCCGACCTACTCTCTTTCCCTCTTCCCGCCTTTCTTTTTTTCGGTTTTATGACCCTTTGTCTACATTTCTTATTCCCCTTTTACAACTGTATGCAAATCAATTGCACATGGACAGACAAAACTGCATCTGAGGGAGGATGCAGAGGTCTGATATCACTACAGTTGTGTTCGGTTACAATTGTAACACATTAAGTCAAGACATTGCAAGTGATTGACCAAAATTAGCTTCGCGATCGACTTGTTGGCCACCCCTGATATAGATCAGCCAATGTTCAACTTTTGGGTAACCATGGGCAATGGCTAAATTGTTCCACTTCCAAGATCAACCCAGAAGGATCATTACTGATGGTATTAACAAAGGCCATTAAATCTGGAACTGTCTTCCAAAAAATAATAATGTCATAGATATACCTCCTGTAAAGAAGAATATTGAGGATGACTTTGCTCTCTAATTGTCAGACCACCATCTCACACAGGTGTCCAAATATTGGGCTACCCATCGGGACCCTCTTTCCCTGATGGTAGATTATACCATAAAATTGAAAGACCAAATAGTAACAAACTAAGTGGGACCTTTCTAGAATGTGCTGATGGAGTGTGTCATTACTGACAATATGAAACTAGTCCCAGAGCACAAAAACATGGAGGGGCTTGAGAGATTTAAGGTCTAAAACAGTGATGTACCAGGGAGGGCATATCTCTTTCAATTGTATGAGCTCCATGGAGCTTGTGAATATAAGGATACTCCTCCATGAAGTGTGAGAGAGGAGTACACCATTCCTTGTCAGAAATTCTCTTCATTGGCAATCCTAAGACGCTATGTGACAATGAGTTGATACAAGTAACATCCCTCTAACGGCAAATATATTTAAAGCTTTGTATTTATGATTATCGTGTATTCAAATCTAGACAGCTTATTGAAATTGTCAATAATGATGGTGATAAACTTATTTTAAATGTATAAACAAGCATTACCTTTCTGGATATTTAATCAAACATAATATGAGTAAAAGTTGTCAATGATTAATTAAAATAATCAGTTTTCACAAATAATTGATAAAATTTCTATTATTAGTGTTTAACATGTTAAGAACAAGCTTAAATGAGGAATTTGATTGATTATTCTTAAACTTTTGCATCCAGATGTTTATTTTAACAGTTACAAAAAATTCTAGGATAAAATATATTATTCAATCTATGAAATACAGTACACTACATTAAAGAACAGTTTCAATTCAGATTTTTTCACAAAATAATTTATTGTTACCAGTTATATTTCAAAGGATCTTCTATAATATAACCTTTATAAGTAAATAATTTAGATGCAATTTCTTGGTAATTTTCATCAGTTCTATTAATATCTGAAAATCATAAAGTTATAATTAACATAAAAATATAATTTTTTAATTTTTAAGCCATGTTGCCAGTTTTTAAAGTAAACAATTTTAACTCCAAAGAAAGAGATTCTCAGTAACTTGGAAAGAGTAGTTGATCCATTAATGAGGTAGATGAGAAAATTCATATTTAAAATGAAATAAATATAATGTATAATGGTGCATGACTTATTTTATTTAGCATTTAATTTTAGTTACATAATTTTTATTGTTGTTGTTGTTATTAAATAAACATCATTTCATCAAATATTTTATGTATTTACACACTAGTCATCTTTTTAAAAAATGTATGCAGGGTCTTCCAAGAAGAATGTTACCATCTTAAATTATTGTAATTATGTTAATCTGTGAAGATTGTTGAGAATTATCCAAGTTTTATATTTGCCAATTACAATTTCTCAATGTATGCACTTCACTAAATTAGAATAAACAATAAATCCTTCACATTTTGTCATTCTTTTTTAAACACCTCAGAAACACAACAGTCTTCATAGTGGTGTGTTTTAAAAAAGGAGAAATGTGAAGACATTTATTGTTTTTCTAATTCAGTAAATATTTATTTTATGTTATTTTTGTCCTGGTCATTTTATTAATTAAAATATTTTTATAACTGCCATTGCCCTGGAAATTTTTAATGTTTTTGCATATTGAGGTGGATAAGTAGCTTCTAATAAAAGATTGACTCCATTATAAACACCTGTATTCCTGAGGTGTTTAAAAAACAATGAAATGTCAGCACATTTATTATTTTTTCTAATTTGTGAATACATTTTATAGAAAGATTGAGAATCCTTGTCCTAACCAAGAATATTACACATAAATATTTAATTTAATGCATTACAATACAATTGTGTTCATTCAAAATTTTATTCATTCAGTGATTTGAAAAAAGATAAACACAGTAGTGTCTTTTTTTTATAGAAATAAAATAAAAATTCTTTTGAAACCAACCATACATTAGGCACTGTTACCTTTGAAATAAGATTCCAAGAGGAACAGTTATTCAAATAATATATGTACTTCAGGTGTAGGCGTTTTTAATCCTGGCCTCTCATTTCACTATACATATAAAGCTTAAAATAGAAAATTCATTGGATTCAGTATTACGATAGTTAACAGATTGGATAAAAATATAAATCTTTAATTACAGTAGAGCGTCGTTTATCCGAATCAATTGGGGATTGGGGATGTTCGGATAACTTATTTTTCGGATAACCAATTATGTACGAAAAAATATATTAATTTATCCCGTGTTGAAATTTTTCTCCGTTGCGTGTCGCTTCGCGTTGAATTTTCGTCGATGTTAAGCCTAACGAAGACTATTGTATCGTTAAAAATTATTTTTTTTATTTTGTACAAACAAAATAAATATATTGAAAAATATAAAAACAATAAAAAATTATACTTTAGAAGTTAATTTAGTATCAAAAACGTAAAATATTTGATTTAGCCAAAGATTACAGTGCCAAAACACTGGCGAAAATTTAAATTTGTCGACTGGAATTCCTTCGGATAAACGACGCTCTACTGTATATTGTTTTTTTTTTTTTTTTAAATTCATCATTTAGATTTACTGATTTATAAAGAGTCATGTTTAAAATATAAAAGCTACAAAAAGGAATGTAATGTAAGAAAATTCATAGCTTATATTTGAGGTCTCTTTTTTTTATATCAAGAAAAATGCTTTTATTATGGAAATTTATAAATCATGTCCTTGCAGACAGATAAACAAAAGCAAATATATAATATGGGTACACTTATATATTTAAATAATTACCCCCAAAAAACTGATTGTAAAATGGTATAATATGGATATTGAAAATAATAATAATAATAATAGTATAAAATCATAGATGTTATATTAATACAGGTCACCCCTGTATAACACAGCACTTCTATAGCACGGATTCACTGTAACACAGTTCAAGAATTGGAACATCCCCGTATAACACAGTGCTTTTATAGCACGGGTTCACTCTAACACAGTTCAGGAATTGGGTAAAACCCTCGTACAAAATGAAATGTAATAAAGGGTGCATTCTTTTATATTTCCGCGTAACTCCGTACGAGCATTCTAATTGTTTTCGTGGCTACTTTGAATGCTCTTTCAACAAATAATCCATTTAATGGTTAAATTTTACAATTGGGACCCTTCTTTTGCCTCTAAAAGCTCATTTTAGAATTATATATTCTTCCATCATTATACTATCGATAGTGCGGGCGCCACCATCTTTCTTTCATCATTGTTCCTAAATGCCTACAAACAGCAGCGCACTCCCATTGCAGAGCAACCGCTATTAACGAACACACCTGAAAACTGTTACCAGTTGATGATGCTCATGCTGAGATCATCATATAGGATGAATAATCCTCTGGTAAAATATTTACTTAAATAATAAGTATTTTACCTGTGAAAAAAATGAATAATAAATCCGATTTAAATAAGGATTTAACAGCATGTTTTTTTAATTTTTGGAACCTAATCCCCCTTTTTGCACTAGTCCTTTGTTTTGTATAACATGGAGTCACATATCACGGCAATTTTTTGAAAAGTAACTCTCATGTTATACGGGGGTTACCTGTATATATAAGAAATATTTTTGAAAAGATAAAATTTTTTTATTTTAATAATATTGTTATATCTAAATTGTTTAATTTAGATATAACAATAAAATTATTAAGCAAAAGAATAATAGTAATAATGATGCTTTAATGGAAAAATCACATCCTTCATATTATACAGTAGTTATGTTCCAAAAAAGTGCCATGTTATGCAAATCTGTGCTATATGAAACAAAGGACTAATGCAAAACTTAAAATTATGTTTCAGAAGTCAGTAATGAAAAAGGATAGTATGCTTTTGCTAAGAGAAATATGTTTATTTAAGTAATCTATAATTTATTTCCAATCAATAATTAATTAACAATCACAATTAAAAGTACTGTATTACATGTTAATACTAATTTGTTAAATGAGGGCATTTTCTTTTTACAAAGTATCTTGTCATCTCAGCTGTTTTGTTGATCTTGATCAGAAGTATCAGTAACATTTTCATATTTTTTATTTTTATCATAAAAATTTTTATGAATGATGAAATAAAAATATGTTATTAATTAAAAATTTGTTTTATGGGTCACATTTGTTCAGTTGAGCACCAAGTGACTTTTTTCTAGAAGTTGTGATTGAATACTGAGATATTGCTGTTTTACATTCGTCATTTTTATGAATGAAGTAATCATTTATAGGTAACTAATATCTACAGTTAAAAAAAAGTTTAACAACACTTACTTAAAAATGTTTAAAATAAACTATTAAATATGAAAATGAATCTATAAAAAGAAAACACCATGTTAGTCTTACAAGCTAAAGTCTAAAACAACAAAGACAATAATTGGTTAATAAGAAATAATTTGAAAATTTCAATATTCTAAAATTCATGAGCAAATTTGAGACAACATATACATATGTGCTTACTCAAATTAAAAAAAAAAAAAAAAAAAATTGAATAACAGTTTACAATGTAAAAATTGTGAAATTTTGTACGTAGGATTTCCAAAACTGTGTTAGAGCAAAACCACGTTGTAGAAGTACTGTGTTGTATTTGTTTTTGGTAAGATTCACTGGTGATTGGATAAAAATAAATTTGTTTATATTATAATTTAAATATTTTTGTTTTATATAAAAATATTTTTCATTTTAAATATTTTTATTTGGTGTAACTGCAGAATAGTACATTGAGAGATAGTATGCTTTACCAGTTTGTGCATTACTTTTTGACAATTCTGAAAAATGTTTGAATGTAATGAAAATAAAAAAACTAAAATCAGTGAGTAATAATTATGTGATCATTTTATGGATTGTATTAGATACCATATTTTCATGGAATGACTGGCATTCTGCATAAAAATGGGGAAGACCAGCATGCCAGTTAAACTGCAACTGAAATATAAAATTAATCAGATCTAATGAAACTAGTTGTTAATTAAATGTTAAAGAAAGCATTCTTCCAAGTATAATAAAATATTATAATAACAACATTATAATTTGGCACTTAAAATTAGGAAGAGAGTTTTCCTTTACAAGACAATAAAACAATTAACAACTTAGTAGTAGTAGTAGTAGTAGTAGTAGTAGTAGTAGTAGTAGTAGTAAGTCAGTCAGTGTGGGCTACACTGACCATCTACCCCAACCTTAAAATAACACTTTCTTCTTGCATTTCATACAAAGGGGATGTTAATCAGTGTAAGATGAAATAATTTACAGTGAATTTCTTAAATTTAGTATGTTTATTTTTGCATTTTTGAATCAAATAACAATAAAATACACATAAAAAGAGCACTTTTGGAATTCCAAGAGTATTTTATGTCATTAGAAAAAAGAAATTAAACATATAATTGTAGTTTTTGATGTAATGCTGAGTTTTACAGTTTTAGAATAAAAACTTGTTCGTTTTTACCTGACATAACTCATTTGTTTTTTTTAATGCACCCTCTAGAGAGGGATCTATAACCTCACTTAAACCAGCATGTCGGTATTCTCCAGGATAAACTGATGCCAGTTTTTATCATACAGAAATATCTGATTTCATGGTCACCCCTGGATAGACTGGCATGCAAATCATTCTGCAAAAATACAGTAATCATATCTATCTAATTTTAAAGCAGCCATCTTTTTGCACAACTTTTCAGCATTTTATGTCACATTGAAATGTGTTCCAATGATGTCTATATGAATGTAAAGCTATACACTATAAGTAGTATTGCCATCTTTTCAAAACTGCTGACCCAGACGGCAGGTGAGGTTTGTTCAAAGAGAAGTTCCCAATGCATGCGCAATGTCATTTTGCAATGCAAAGAATAATTTCAGTGCATACTGGTTCTAAATCAGTTACAGTTAGGGACTAGGGAGACTTGGGTAGGAGTAACCTAAGTAACTTATATTAAGAAAGAACAACTACAGATGACTTA